AAAAAAGGTTCAGTTACAATTCTGGTTTTCACATCCTTTTATCTATATGATCCCTTTCGATGTGTAGATATCTACCAACCATATAGGATCCTACTGCCGTTCTATGACGGATACACGGCAAAGGCTTTTCCTCCACTAAATGGGGCCGTCAGGGTAAGACTTGAACTGAGTGGCCCTATCATTCGCCCGCTTTCCCCGTCTGCTCCTCCACGTCCTCCGGCTTGTCCAACTTCGGTGGGATCCAACTGATCCTGACCGTCAAATCCCCGCGCTTCTTCTTCTTTAATTTCTATTTTTATGCTTTCTCATCATTTGAGCAACACCATATCTTTAACTCTAACATAACGTCGGGTCTACCAGAACTACGCGGTCTTGGTGGTGGACCGGTGCCATATCCACTCCGCAGGTTTCCAGCAAACAGATGATCTGTTGAGCCCGGTGCACGGGCCCGGTCTACTCACGCTTCTTGTGGTTCGACTGCCTGGTCTAGTATTAAACAAGAAAGAAACAAAAAAGATATGCAGAACTCAGCGCGGGATGCTGGGATTATGCCATCTTGGGGAGCGCTAGATAGCTCTTCCGTTGCCCGACAGGGTACGCGATTAAGCAACGGTCATAGTCTTGCAAATCGAAGGCGTAACCCATTGGTAAGAATCATTCTCTTTGTGCGGTACGAGGTGCATTAGTTGAGTTCGTCTGGACAGGCGTGTGAGATGTGTTATAAGAAGAAAGTCAAATGCGAAGTTGAGGGCTCCGACACGGCCTGTATTCAATGTATGCGTCGTAACATAGCGTGCAAATTCACCACAAGAAAAGAGAAGAGAGAGAATCTGAAAAGGTATCGGTACACCACTGCAACTCTCACCTACAGCCCATTCAAGGTTCCTCTTTTACTAAATGATCCCTTCTAGAACGAACTACGTGAGAACCCTAGAAGAACGTCTGCGGAAGACTGAATCTTTACTCCGCGCCGCAGGACTTCTAGACGACGAAGACATCAGTCAACTTGATACCGGCGGTGAATTTAGCAACGAGAACTCTGAGGACGAAAGTGATATTGATCATGGACAAAACGAGCCTTCTGGTTCGAGGAGCCGTGATTCCGGGATGCTAATATCAAAAGACTCAGTCCATGTTGCAAACGAAGAGTCGAGCATCACGTCTGGTGCAAATCTGTCGAGTAAGTCTGTCGAACGGTGCCAGAAGCTTCCTTGGGATAGTACTCTACACCAGCCACCCCTCTTCCGCCTTGACTCTAGAGAAGACTCTCGATACTATGGTATGTCAGACATATTACCCTATGTTGTTCCTCTAAGGCACTTGTTGGTTGACTAATTACTAGGACGATCTTCGTTTCTGTCCATTCTATCTCGAGATGGAATTGAGTGGATCAAGAGCAAGACAGGAGACTCTAGGTTTCTTACTTTACTACTCGAGAACAGAGACCATGACAGCCCCTGGGATCATTGGCGGCCAGATGTATTCCATGACGTGTTCTCGTCTACGGTCTTTAAGCCCTTGCCTCCGAGAGCGGAAGTCTTTTCCTTATTGAAGGATTATTTTCGCACAGTGAACCGATTATTTCCACTGTACCATGAGGCGACGTTTATGCGGTTGGTTGAATGGCAATATACGCAACAGACGTGTGACGATGCTGCCCGTTGGGCCAGCATCAATATCATACTCTCTTTAGCTTACGAATATCGATTTTCCAACTGCCAGAAGTCAGAAAAAGACAGGGAGAAAGCCTGGCTATATTACAAAAATGCTATGTCAGTCTTTCCAGAGTTGACATTGCGAAGGACCGATATCCTGAGTGTGCAGGCCCTTATTGGCATGGCATTATTTCTCCGTGGAAATTCGGGTACTCAGTCAGCATCGCCTATCATAACAGCAGCCATACAGTCGTGTCAACGAATGGGACTCCATCGTGACGTTCCCAGACCCCATCTTTCCCAGGCCGAGCAAGAACAGAGGAAGAGGGTATTTTGGATTGCCTATATCCTTGATCAGAGGTAATACCTGTTCAATATATGGCATCCTTCTTATTTCATCTGAAGCTAACTCAGCGATGGTAGCGCATGCATACGGACGGGGAGTTCGCCCACCCAGCGTCCAGACGATCTTGATATTGGTTTTCCCGAGGTCGATAATGATGATGAATTTACAATGAACGGTCATGCTTCTTTTTTCCGCCAACTTTGCCATATGACGCTCATAAGAAGCCGGATATATGGCAAGCTTTATGCTGTCAAGTCTCTGCAGAAGATGTCTCCCAAAGAAATCTACGATACAATCCGGGAGCTCCGGGGGGAACTTGAGGAATGGCACAATGCAAGCCCTTTCACCCAACAAGTGAAGCCGAGAGGAGCAGGCGAGGATTTCCTCGTGGGATTTGCTACTGCTGGCTTGCAGTTTGGCTATTTTAACTCTATGATCATGATTCATCGTCTGCCACTGACTATTTATTTTGCCTATATGCGCCATTCTACAATCAACGTGAAGTGGGACGTTGATCCCAAAACTATCTTCAACGAGTCGACGCAGGCGAGCGCAATCTGCGTTCAGGCTGCCCGGGACACATTGAAGCTTGTGAATAACCTTCCATGGGGAGACATAGCTTGGATCTGGTGAGTTGTCGCAATTTGAGACATCAATCTAAACCTTCCGCTAATACAACTGTAGGTCTCTGTTGTATTACATTTTCCTGGCAGTTACCATACTATTCACTTATATACTACGCGATAGTCAGCACCCCCACGCCAGAGAAGATTTACACCATCTCAGCATGGCAGCGACCTTCTTCGCAACGCTCATACCCGGCGACGGCCCCTGCAATTACGCCAAGTTCATGACTAAAATGTGTGCCAATTTCGAACGAGTAGCCCGGACAGTCCTTGAGCGAGAACAAAAGGCGCTCAAGTCAAGCGATAAACCTCACCAGCCCGGGGCGCCATCCGTGACCACCTCATCCAAGGAGCAAGTATCCTATTCGCCCTCTGCCGGCAACATTGACATCCCTCAACTCGAAGGCCTCCCACACATCAACTCGTCGGGTTATGTTGTTCCTGAGAGCCCTAGCGCTGCTTCGGCAGACGCCCCCACTGGGGACCAATCTACTGTGAACGATCCCCTCTTAGGCGGGTTCTCAGTGAGCCAGCCACATGAAAGCACAAGTGCAACGATCCAGCCGAGCTACCCCTATCCTATGGGCGACACTTTTCCGGCCTCGATGGCCGACAACATACACCAGCCAGAACTGTGGCAAATTCCAATGACGGCTGACTGGGAGTTTGGCAGTCAGTTCCTGAGCCTTTTCGGTCCACAATTATTTGCTCAAGGGGGTAGCGATGTCATGTCGGCAATGGCCGGGATGACAGCACCACCAATGCCTTCGGCGCCAGTGAACATGGGGCTCGACTACGAGAATTCCGATAATGTGGAGGGCTATCCTCCATGGATGCCCCGGGGATTCATGAACCTCTTCTAATAAATCGACCAGCAGGGTACTGAACCCTTGTGTTGATCACTGAGAATGCAGTTTCAGCGATATCTTGCATCCTGCTCTAGTATTCGACGTGGGACGCCCATCGATATCAAGCCATAAGCAGATATGATGTATATAACATTTGTCTGTATCCTAACGAATTGACGACAATTAATACCAGTCACTCCATTCTAAAATCATGATAGCAGCATCTTCCCAATACCCACTGTATATATCAAATTGAAGAACAGTTACCACAGTCTGTACCCTTCGGGCGAGTCGAGACCTGTCGAAAACACATCTTCCAGAATCAAGGATACCCAGTCTAGACCCCGAACAATCGGGGCCGGCGCCAAAAGTAAGCACTAGATGTCGATCGTAATGACGTCGTCGGTGTGTCTTTCGTATATATAACTTGTTACGTGTTCTATACCTACTTCATTCATCTTCTGCTCAACCACTAACCACCAATACAAAATCACCCGCACATAAACTCCCACCCAACCCTCATCTCGTGTATACCCAATCTGCTCTCAAATCACAAACTACCACCGCCCCTTTCTTCACCACGGCCAACAACCCCAACCCAAGCAACTAATAAACAGCCCGGAAGAGGAAAAATAATGACCACCTCATCCAACACAAAAACGTACACCTACACCCGCTACCCACCCAGCATCTCGCCCTCAATCCCACGCCTGGACACAGAAGAAGACGTCAAAAAGGCCGTGCTCGCTAACCCCGAGACCACCTTCGACGATACGGTCGACACCACCGGCGGCTGGTACCAGAAAGACATGGAGGGGAGGGTGGTGGCCATTGTGTCGGATCAGATGTGTGAGGAGCTGGATGCGAGGCGGGATCATGCTGAGGCGTGGGTGAAGGAGAATGAGAGAAGGGAGGCGGCGGGGGAGCCGCCCCTGGAACCTGCTTGTTGGAGGAGGTAGGATATGCAGAAGGTAGAGAGGGGGGGGTGTGGTGCTTAGGGGTGATGGTGGTTGTTAGTTTTATAGTGTTGGGTTTGGGAGAAGGGGCTGAGTTTCCTGGATTACGTGCATACTTCGGCATTGATGAGGGCTATATGTCGTTGTTAAACGTCAAATGACGCATGGAAGACTCAGAATTATGATTCTCATGTACTTGTAAATGTATCCACATATCATATCCTTGTATGAACCCGTTCCCACCGAAGATATCCACCCAAGGTAAACTCCCAAGCCTTGCCCTCAAACACCGTCACCCCAATTCGCGCGCCAGGAAAAAAGAAAAAGAAAAAAGAAAAATTGAAGCCAAACCCGACGATCCTGAAGACGCCATGTCCCATCGCTCATAATCAAAACACTGTCCCGGTAAGTGTTTGCACCGCCTTGCTCCAAATACCGTTTCCAAGCTGGGGTCCGGCATTCCCCCCCAGCTCCTTACGAAGAAGTTTCCGCATCTCATCCTCAGACATGCCGGAGCGGTTCTTGGTGCCAAAACCATAGACCTTCCTAGCAATCACATCGGTCTCGAATGCTAGGACACCAACATCACCAGCGTTTCCTTTTTGGACACATGTCTTGACAGCAAAGTCAACATCGACTCTTCTGGCTCCTGTGTCTTTGGCTTTTGAGGATCCCTTTCCAGATGACAGTTCAAGCAGAGTGCATCTTGCCCTGAGGGCGGGTTTTGCATCGATCTCAGAAAACTTGAGCTTGGTAGCACCGCAGAATCCCAACATACGGGCTTCCTCTTCGAGGTTAAGCACAAGGTCCCACGCTTGCGCGACAAAATGGAGCATCTGCTTTGGAGCTGTTTTAGACTGCGGGATGGTTGCAAGCTCAATTTGGAGAGACTTCAAGACTAACAACCCTATCGGTGAGAGCGCAGAGTGGGTCATAGGCTGTGTTCTGCCTTGAGGGCTGTGTTTCAACTCAATAGGCATTTTCTCGTCAGTAGCAGGAGGTTGGCTGTTATTATTATTGATAAAGAATGCTCCCGGGTGGAACGAAAGTTGGAGCTGGTTGCGATAAGACATCGTCACCAACGGACCTGCAGGGGAACTTGGAGAAGTAGCCGAGATGATAGACCACCCTGTCTGACGTTCCATCTTGTGGACAGATTCTATCAAGAATTAGCTCGAGTCTCAGCCATATGTAAGGAAGGCACTTACCCTTCAATTCACTGATTTCCTTGGCACTCCAGCCCCGACATTCCTCCTTGACCCGTTCCGCCTCTTGGATTTGGCCCAAGTATTCTGCCTTAAGCTCCGCTCCGGTCTCGATAGTGTTTGTCTTTTCTTGGGCTTCGGCTTGTAGCTCTTCGAGTAGCTTTTTCTTTGATGCAATCTCCTCCTCGATGCTAAAGAGTTTCTCGCGCGCATCCCGTAGCTCATCCTGATCACAGTTCTCGATCTCGTCCGTCAACTGCTGCAGAGATGTAGCCTGTTCTTCAAGTGAAGAATGTTTTTCGACAAGCGCGGGCACAACACCGCTAAGGAGTGTCTCATACTTGGACAGAAGTTCGTCATCACCTCTCATTTCTTCAACGTGGCGATTAAGCCCATCTTTCAGACCCTCGAGGAGCTTCATCCGCCACTCATACCATGTAGCTTTGCTAAGGAACCTCGCGTGAGTTTTTACGTTTCGAAATTGATTGTCCATTAGTAAACGGATATCGGGAGGGGCTGTCATGTATTCTCGGAATAGTGGCGGGTTTTCGGTGTAAGTCTCCGTCTCGATGGACCGGATAACTTGTCTCCCTTCTGAGATATACGACTTCAATTCTCGGCAAGACTAGAGAAAATTAGCAAAGCAATGCAATTGGTCGGAGAAGACAAACTAACATGTTGATAAAGCTCGAGCATGGGCACAGTACAGAAGCCAGCAGCCACGCAATCATCAAACTTAGAGGCACTAGACTTTTCGCTAGAAAGTCTGGCTCTTCTTCTGGTTGCACTGTCCGGCGCAGTGGTGTGTCGACGCTTCGTCGTGGTAAGCTCCATGAAATGGATGTTGGTCATATTCAAGAACTCTTGCAATTGGATAGGCTCAACTTCTGGCCCGGATTCTTCCTGACGATCGAGAGCGTCTTGAGCTGACTCAGAAGCGGATGTGGCATTGGACGAAGTTGGCTCGTCTTCCATAGGGGTTACTATTACAGAGGAGCCCTTCGGCTCCCGAGTAGGAGTTGTGCTAGCCTTTGCCGGAGATCTTTCAATGGCTGGGGGAGCAGGTGAGCGGCCCAGGCGTCCGACTGTTTCGTCTTTTGTCGGTGGTGCAGGGAGCTTGATATTCTTCACAGGACTAGCCTCGCGACCTCTTAGACGCTTGGGCGTATGGTCAGAGTCGTCGTCAGGTAGGTCCAGTTCCATCGGCCGTTTACCAAGTAAGCCCCGCGCCGCACCGACGTGTAAGCTTTTCCGGCCGGCAAGTTTGTTCTTCTTCGGTGTGAGGCTTGAAATCATATCCCTCAAGTTCGTGGTTGCGTCTCGGTCGTTACCTTGCAGCGGTGGGGTATGACCGTCCTCGCGGCTTTCTTCTTCTTCACGCTCACGATCAACCTCCTCTTGAAGCTTCAAAGGATCTTCAAATCGTACACCTTGTTGCCGTTGTTCCTGAGGAACAAACTCAGCACTATCTTCGCCAATAGACCGACGTTTATCAAGCATAGCAGCTACCTTGGGGGATCCTAGTCCTTCTTTATCAATTCCAAGTCCAGATGATCGCCTCTTGCTTTTCGGTTGCAGAACGAAGAGAGGCGTGGATTCACCCATCGCATTGTTTCCAAAAAGGCTCTTACGGGGCGACTTCCGTTTATTTGCGGCCCCCTGCAGTTCAGGTTGAAAAAGCTTCTTCGGTGACGCGTTCCTAAATCCTTTGGCACTTGATGGCGGGGTTTCTCCAGGCGTTGTAGGACGGCTAACTTGCGGTGTCGATTGCTTCGGGGGAGTCAACAAGTTCTCCGATGGAGACGTCTTAGGAGTAGTTGATGTTGGAGTGTTTGACAGTGCTCCTTGAGTCAAACTCTGCCTTGTACGTCGGGATTTAACACTTGCCAAGCTAGGACTGCCACTCTCCGAGGTGACTGTAGCAACATGGAAGGAGGCTGGTGATTTCGCAGGAGACTGTCGAACGGTTTCTTGGAAGGGAGAGCTACCGCGCTCAGCAGATTCAAATTCCACTTCCATCTCTTCCTTTGCTTCCTCTCTGCCACTGGCTTCGGCCTCCGGTGGTAATATCCTACCCATAGCCGTTGTGACTTCCATCCCTACAGTCTGGTCATCATCCTCTGATTCATCTCGCTCCTCGTTCGGTGGAAGGATACCACCAACGGCTCCAGTGATCTCCATATCTTCGCCATCGTCTATTCCGCCGTCATCGTTCCATTCAGAGAAGTTTCGTTCATTGGATTCTTCCTGAGCAGAAGACCTAGCAGCTCCGTAGTCGCCCTCATCCCCATCTTGGGTGGAGGGTTTGCCCAAAAGCCCGCCAACAACGGAAGTAAATTCCATTGTCATCTCTTCGTCCTCGTTTACATTGCTATCAGCGCCTGTGGACCCCGCAGGGGAAGTAGGCTGCGCGATGCCTCCGACCACATTGGTGAGCTCCATCGTTTGTTCGCCGTAGTTTGTTTCCTCTCCACTTGACTTGCGACGAATGGCGCTTTGACGACGGCTTGCTGGTTTGGTGATGATCCGACCAATGGCATTCGTCACTTCCATGCTCATGTCTTCGTCTCCGTTATCACTTGCCGCATCGCGGATTGGGTGATCCGTTGGATAGGCATTCTCTTGATCATGTCGGGCGCTTATGTCCTCCCAGTCAAAGCTTTGTCTCTGCCCTTTCTTAATCCAAGGTTGGAAAGCCCCTGTTATTTCCTGATCAGCAATCTCCATTGACATCTCGCCATTCTCATCATCATCGATGCTCTTCGTGCCGGCCTCTCGAGCTGCTTGTCGAAGAGCCTCATTCAGTCGAGCGCTAGAGCTGGTATTCGATTCATCAGATCGTGCCGTTGCAGCTGAGTGAGCAGTCACGTCATCTAAGCTCATTGCGGTACTTTCGCCGTCAAAACCAGAGGTTGAAGAGTTGTCGTCATCCTCCTCATCTTCATCCCTTGTCTCAGCTTGCAGCCCAATATCTTCACTACCATCTGCAGAACTTCCGCTGAAGGGGCTAGAGGACATTTGCTGGGAGCCTCCCATTCCATCATAAGCTCCATACTGAGGGCGGTTTGCCAACTGTTGGAGATCTGGGTATTGCACTGGAGAAAATGCTATGTCCGACTCGATTTCGGCGTCCGGAGACGAGGGAGCTTCAGTCTGCGCAGCAGCGGGTGTTGCCTGGTTTTCGGTGGTTAAGGATGATGCGCGTCGAGTAGAGTTGGAGGTAGATGATGAAGTAGAGTCGTCTGGAATTTCCACTACGTTCCATGTGTGCAATGTTGCCTCCGGAGCGAACGATACTCGGCGATTTGCTTTGATGAAAACTAGTTAGTCCCATGTAAACTGCCGATGGGAAGGCAATGGCATACCCATAGACTTCCGGCGGGCTTCCCGCTGTTCTAGAATAGCCTTTCGCTCCCGTTCTCGTCTGGCTTTCTCGTCACGCTCTCTAGCAGCGGCCATTTCGTCACGTATCGATGAAGCATTAAAGCTGTCGAACGGATTGGATTCATCTATAGACCCTGGCGGCTGTGCTGGGGTGCCAAGGTCTATCAACATGCCCTCTTTTCCCTGGCTTCCCCCACTTTGATTGTCTTCATGGCTTTGTGAACCTCGAGCCGGCGTCCGCTTCCGCGTTTCTTCGAAAGAGGGAATATTTCGTACCGGCGAAACGGGAACGGTAGGTTTAAGAATAGATTTGAGAGGGAATGCTGTAGTGGACTATAATGCGACAATACTTTTGTTAGTTTTATATGAAACAGAGAGTTGAGGGACTAGGAGAGGAAATGTACCTTGCGTCGGTTTCCGTTGGAGTTCTGAAGCGCATCTAAACCACCAGGCCCCAAGCTTTTACTGCGGGACTTCTTATCTTTCCCACCCAACCTTGCGGAGCCCAAGATCGGTTGACTTGAACTTATGTCTGTAGTTGTGTTCTCCTTATCCACTCCAGATGTGAACCTTGATCGGGGTACATGAGCGATCGAGCGACGAGATCGCGGACGGGCAGACCCCGCGGAGTCACTTCTGGATGCCATGAGGCAAAGATATAGGGTATCACAGACAAGGTCCGGATGATTAGAGTTTCTCAATTTCAATTCATCAATAATTCCACTTTTTTCGAAGTGTTGGAATAATATACATGGTCCAGTTATCGTTGCGCCATCATTAAACACACAAGTATAACGAACCCCCCAAAAGTCGCGCGTCTCCCGGGCGGTGCTCATGTGATCGCCCGATGTAAACAAACGTTTCTGTTATCGTGATGAGTAATTCATTACATAATAACGATACGATTAGGTGTTAGGGCTAGTACAGCATGACTAGCCCGCAACAGGCTTAGCGTCGCCATCGCACACTCCCACACTGAATTATCCGCCATCCCGAATAAATCTTCCTCAACATCGACGTCGACCACCGCAGGCCCCGACACCCCCCTCCGCGACGATACACCCAGCTCGACTTCGCTTCCTCGTCGAACTGAATTCTCGCAACAATGGCGACCGAGTTGACCGTCCAGTCGGAACGTGCGTTCCAGAAGCAGCCTCACATCTTCAACAACCCTAAGACTCTTGCGAAGAGCAAGAAGGTTGGCCAGGGCCGCAGATGGTACAAGGATGTTGGTCTTGGATTCCGTACCCCCAAGACCGCCATTGAGGGCACCTACATCGGTATGCACGACCTCCGATGAAATTTTGCCGAAAATTTCGAATTCCATATTGGGGAAGAACAACGATTTTCCGGAGTTTGGAGATGAAAGACCGCGCGGTATCATGGAAGTCCAGGATTGCATTTGCGGCACGGAAATTGTCGATAGAGGGGGAGAAGATTCTGTCGCAGTTGGAAAGCCGATATTGCCTTGCTGGTCATCTGTTATCTTCATCTCCGAACTCCGGAATCGGTTCATAAGTCTCCATCGGCTTGATGGATAGATCGCTGATATCAAACAGACAAGAAGTGCCCCTTCACTGGTATGGTCTCCATTCGTGGCCGTATCTTGACCGGCCGTGTTGTCTCCACCAAGATGCACCGTACCATCGTCATCCGCCGTGAATACCTCCACTACGTCCCCAAGTACAACCGTTACGAGAAGAGACACAAGAACCTTGCTGCTCACGTCTCTCCCGCTTTCCGTGTTGAGGAGGGTGACTGGGTTACCGTCGGCCAGTGCCGCCCCCTGTCCAAGACTGTACGTACACAACTGTTTCGGAAATACCATTTGGCCTCGTCACTAGCGATCACCTACCCCTTGCTATGTGGGGCCCTGTCATGCTATGGACCGGCCGATGGATTTGCTTTCCGATTGCCATTATTGAGTGGAAACAATTCTAATTCATCTTTAGGTCCGCTTCAACGTTCTCCGTGTCCTGCCCCGTACCGGCAAGGCCGTCAAGGCTTTCTCCAAGTTCTAAGCGTGTCGATGATGATGGGGGTGTTTCGATTCCAGAGGGTCATCAATCTAGGGCAGCGGCGTGACTGGATATAAGCGAATTAGTTTAACGGGTTGGGATTGTTTCACGATTTCATGTCCCAGGTACCCTTGTGAAGGAAATATCCAATGAAAAAAGCTTTTTGATACTCCTATGTTAGAATTCCAACTGTATAGCCAACCGGGAAAGGAGATTGCCATTCATGACAGTTCAGGAATGGGGCTTTTTCATGATGCCAATTTAGGTCTTTTTTCATTCAATATTTCTCTTTACAAATTGCCGTTGCCTCCGGGATATTTCGATCATTTCCTCTCGTCTCTAATCTAAGA